TTCAAGGATGGATGGACAATGTAGGAAGACAAGCAGGAAACTATTATAAACAAAGCAAATGACTACTATAACCAAGCAGGACACTATATGGACCAAGCGTGAAAGATTCTTTAACAGAGGATATAACCATGCACAACAATGGTAAACAATAACCAACCTCAACGCCTCAAACGTGGGCGAATGTAAAATTTTTTACTGAGATGAAATGAACAATACAGCATTGAGACAAATGGGTTTCAAGATGGATTTGTCGACTTCCAGCAGTTACACCACGTGTTTGTCAAGTTCCTATACCTCAGGAAGTTTTAGACCGACTTAAAAAACCTAAACAAACCAGTTGAAAACAAACCAAACTAAAATTTTTTACTGAGATGAAATGACCGAAGAAGTTGAAACGGTATAGATTTGACACCACAAACAAAAAGTTCAGAACCATTGTCAAAACCTGTCAAAGAACTTACAGATGAAGAGAAAAATTCAATAATAGAAAGTGCCAGGTCTGGAAATGCAAACCCTAACTATAAAGTCACTTTTCATAGAAATGGAACGGCTAGTATCTCAAAAAAGAAACAGACTCTCACAAATAAAATATTGAAGTCTGAAGGAGCTTTCGAGACAACAGATGGAAAAGTTTACTTCACTGACCAACAGTTCATTATAGAACATCTCATTGACTTAGAGTCGAAATATTCTAAACTTTACAACAAACACAAAAAGTTGAAAGGAAAACAAAAACAAATGGCATATGATATTTTATGAAGATGTGACGACACAACTGTTCCTGCAAGTGAAGTAAAGTCAGAGGAACCGAAAAGTGACGAAAAACCGATAGAAGAAGAAAAACCAAAAACTGAAGATAAACCAAAACCAAAGTTTAGTTTGGAAACTAAACCAAGTCAACCTTCATTAGCTGGTATGGGTTGGCGTCAAAGACTTATGGCAGCAGGCGGTTATGTAAAGTAAAGAAAAAAAACATTTTTTTATTTTTATTTGAAATGTACGCTGAGTTTGTTGGAGAGACCGTTGGGAACTTGTTTGTTAGATGAGAAATATGAAATGGCATACTATTTTAAAACAATATATTTTTACATATATTAAATGCTTCAGGTTGAAAAACAAAGAACAAAAGTAGCAGATACAAAACCGTTAGACTATATCTTTACAAATGCTGGTAGGACTATATCAGATGAAGAAATTTCATCCGGAGCTTACAGGTTTGACTATCCAATTCGTTGGCTTCAAAGTCCTTCAGATGCAAAGGCAATAGGATTTAGAAAAGTTTTTTTTCAAAATAGAACTAACGCGTTTATGTTCGCAGTATATTTTCATGGCAGTATAAAGGTTCTGATGGTCTAATAGACAAATTTGACGAAATGAGAATCTTTACAGTTCGTTCAGACGAAAGTCTTGAGAAAACTCTAAATGACTTCAAACTCAAATGAACAAATATTATTGGAATTTCAAGAAAAATACGACTCTTTACTAAATGGAACATACTATCTGAAACTAGAATATGACAAGATGAACTCCACCGTTTCATTTCAAAGGATTGAAATTAACCCTCCAAGAGATACACAGTTTTTATTTTGGAAAGTAGACAAACGTTCTTGGGCACAATTTCTTCGGTTACTAAACCAGAACGAACCATTACCACCAGATGGTCCATTTAAATTTATACTTCCACCAGCAGATTTGACAGTTTATAGAAACGTGTTTGACCCTCAAAATGTTATGTGTCATGCAAGTTTCAGTTCAAGCAACAATAGTTTTCTATGTATTGGTAAGGACCTTTATGACTTTGCTTCTAAATTCTACGAACCACCTAGTAACAGTTTCTCTGACTTTCAAGTTTGGTTCACAACAAATGGTGTGCAACATATTATTCCATTGTACTATGACTTTTATCTCGAATTGTCTTTCATATATAACTACGGAAAAGTGCTGAAAAAGTATTGAAAAATAATGTTTATGTTAGCATGTTAGATCTAACACGTACTGCTTCAGAACAATATTTGTACTGCTTCAGAACAATATTTGTACTGCTTCAGAACAATATTTGTACTGCTTCAGAACAATATTTGTACTTTTTCAGAACAATACTTGTACTGTTTCAGAACAATACTTGTACTTTTTCAGAACAATACTTGTACTTTTTCAGAACAAGACTTGTACTTTTTCAGAACAAATTTCCCGTAAAAGCTCTCAATTTGTGAGAAAAATTTTCTGTTTCAGAACAATATTTGTACTGTTTCGAACAATATTTGTACTGTTTCAGAACAATATTTGTACTGTTTCAGAACAATATTTGTACTGTTTCAGAACAATATTTGTACTGTTTCAGAACAATGTCCGACGTACCACCAACCGAGTCCATTCCCAAACCAGAGGAACCTAAAGCACCAGCCCCTGCACCTCAGTTCCAGCAAGTACCTCTGAATTTCTACCAATTTCCACCTCAAGGTTACTACCCACCACAAGGCTTCCCGAACTACCCTCCTCTGCCTATGCCTTACTTCCCAACCCTTGGATGTTCCAGCAAGCTCCACCCCAGCAATTCCAATCTCAATCCAAATCGAAGAGAGACCAAGAGTTCGAAGAAGGTCTGAACCGTTTACGCAAAGAGTATGCCACAGCTCCAATTGAGAGAAAGTTGTTCCCGGACCAAAAATATATTTTAGGGTAGATGGTGAGATCTCACCTGTTTTTTCACCCTCTTGAATTTTCATGACTTCTTCGTAAATGTTTTGTCAAGACTTCTTCGTAAATGTTTTGTCAAGACTTCTTCGTAAATGTTTTGTCAAGACTTCTTCGTAAATGTTTTGTCAAGACTTCTTCGTAAATGTTTTGTCAAGACTTCTTCGTAAATGTTTTGTCAAGACTTCTTCGTAATGAGTGTAAAGGACCCAAAAATAAAGTTTATGTTAGAATGTTAGATCTAACATATTTTCTAACACGTTTTCTAACATGGTCTAAAACTCTTGAATTTTCATGAATTTCCTTAAGATAGAAAAAATAAAGTTAGTTTTATTTTGTATTTTTTGTATAAAAGATATGATTTCAGGGATTTTTTGACGAAGTGTCAATGTTCACTTCGTCAAAAATAACAGTTATCTAATGAAAAAGTTAGTTTTATTTTGTATTTGACGAGAATGTCGGGTAAATGTTTTGTCATGAATTTCCTTAAGATAGAAAAAATAAAGTTAGTTTTATTTTGTATTTTTTTGTATGTAAGACATGATTTCAGGGATTTTTTGACGAAGTGTCAATGTTCACTTCGTCAAAAAATAACAGTTATCTAATGAAAAAGTTAGTTTTATTTTTTATTTTGTATGTAAAGATATGATTTCAGGGATTTTTTTGACGAAAGTGTCAATGTTCACTTCGTCAAAAAATAACAGTTATCTAATGAAAAAGTTAGTTTTATTTTGTATTTGACGAGAATGTCGGGTATATGTTTTGTCAAGACTTCTTCGTAAATGTTTTGTCAAGACTTCTTCGTAAATGTTTTGTCAAACATGAACGTAAATGTTTTGTCAAGACTTCTTCGTAATGAGTGTAAAGGACCCAAAAATAATGTTTAGGTGAAGTGGTGCGATCTCACCTGTTTTTTCACCTCTTTTTTCACATCTTGAATTTTCATGAATTTTCCCGAAATAAAAAATAAAGTTAGTTTTATTTTTTTTATTTTTTTTATTTTGTATAAAAAATAAAAATGTCAACAATCGGCACAACAACAATACAAACAACTACAGCACCAAACTCTTTAGTCATGAATCCTACGTCAATGTTGGTAGGGATGAAAAGCTTCATTCCTTCTTCATATACTTTTGAAACAGAAATCCAGAAGATAAAGCAAGAACTTTTAACATGTAATTTAGACTGTAGTGCGAAAGATGAAACAAATGAACAGTATCTTTATGAAATGGAGGACATTATTGACCATTTGCCTAAACTACCTGAAATTCAGCAACAAAAGCTCACTATTCCTGAATTCGATGAAATAGAAGTCAAAGCAACTGACTCAGTAGAAATAAAGAAGTTCATTCGTAAGGTAAACTATGAGTTTCTAGGATTTCATTGCAACCATAAGGTTATGGACAAAGATTGCGACATGGTATATAAGAACATCTCTGACATATATAAATCTGAAGAATTTAAGACCTACGACAACTTTGTTTCGTTAGTTGCTGAATGTGTATGGCAGATAAGAGATGAAGATAGAAGAGGTAAAGTATGGAACAAACAAATAAAACCCGCTATGTTTGAGATGAAGAGAGCAATTGACGCTTTAGTTGTTTTAGCTGGTAAGGTTTCAGAATATAACGCAAAGTTGAACCCGCAATGTTCAAAATGTAAGGCAGCAATGAGGAAATATAACTACTCCGTCAAAGAGATAGAACGTATGAGAAACGACTATGCAGACTTAAAGAAAGAAGCAGAGAAACCAGCAGAAAATAAAATGGACATGTTAGAATTTCTGAACAAAAACTATCCAACTGCTGACGATTTCCTTCTATCTGACGTCAAGAAGAAGTATAAAGAAACTTTCGGCATTGTTAAAACATTCGATGTACTAAAAGAAGAAATAGAAGCTACAAAACTGTTTAGGATTTCAAATATACATCGTACAATTCATGTAAAACGCTTGTGAAAAAAGAGGTGAAAAAACAGGTGAGATCGCACCACTTCACCTAAACTTTATTTTTGCTGAAAAATGACCAAATTTCATGAGTTTTCCCGAAATAAAAAATAAAGTTAGTTTTTTATAAAATATTTTTTTTATTTTGTATGTAAGAACAGAAATGACAAACATTGAGTTTGAAACAGTTAGAAAGATAGACAATGACACCAAATTGGTTAGAATAGGTGATTTAAACGTAAGATACTCAAAGAAATACAACAAATATTCTTTGTCAGACATTATATTTCCATCTGGAAAGAAAACAAAGGACTGGGTTAGAATTGCTTCAACTCAGAAAATTTTGACAAGAAATCCTGAGCTTATGATATCGGTAAGATTCTATGGAACTGCAGCATATCTTATAGACAAAAGTCTTATACCAATAGTTTTGTTATGGATTGACCCAGTTGTTGGATATAACTTCATAACATATGGTTCATTCGATACGGAACGTTGCAGTGAAGGCTTACTTTACATCGTTCAGAAACCGAAGGACTTCAATACAAAGAGATATAAGATAGGAAGAACATATAATATAACTCAAAGATATGACAGTACAGTCAATAGAGTCAAGGTTGTGTTTGTTAATGATATGAGAGCTGCAGAAACAGAACTACTTGAAAAGTTTGAGAAAATGTATGGTGCTCCCACGAAAGGTAAAGAAACGTTTGAAGTAGATGAGATAGATAAAGCTATAAAATTGTTTGACGAAGTTGCTGAAAAATACATGTAAAGCGTTTATTTTTGGTCTTTTGTGAAAGTCAGAAAATAAAGTTAGTGTCATTTTATTTTTTTATTTTGTATGTAAGATATGATTTCAGGGATTTTTTTGACGAAGTGTCAACCTTCACTTCGTGTCATAATGTAAAAATAACGCTTACCATGTAAAACGGTTGTGAAAAAAACAGGTTAGAAAGGAGGTTAGATCTAACCTTCTACCCTAAATTATATTTGTGCTGAATTCAGCAAAAATAATGTTTAGGTGAAGTGGTGCGATCTCACCTGTTTTTTCACCTGTTTTCTCACAAGCGTTTATTTTTGGTCTTTGTGAAAGTCAGAAAATAAAGTTAGTTTTATTTTTTTATTTTGTATGTAAGATATGATTTCAGGGATTTTTTTGACGAAGTGTCAATGTTCACTTCGTCAAAATAACAGTTATCTAATGAAAAAGTGTCATTTTATTTTTTTATTTGTATGTAAGATATGATTTCAGGGATTTTTTTGACGAAGTGCAAACGTTCACTTCGTGTCATAATGTAAAAATAACGCTTACCATGTAAAACGCTTATAAAATAACTGGGGTAGAAAAGAGGTGAGATCTAACCTTCTACCCTAAATTATATTTTTGCTGAATTCAGCACAAATTTCATGAGTTTTGTATGTTTTAGACCATGTGAGAAAACAGGTGAAAAAACAGGTGAGATCTCACCTCTTCACCTAAACATTATTTTTGTCTGATTTACGCTCATTACGAAGAAGTTTTGACAAAACATTTACGAAGAAGTCTTGACAAAACATTTACGCTCATTACGATGAAGAAGTCATGACAAAACATTTACGAAGAAGTTTTGACAAAGCATGTACGTTCATGTTTGACAAAACATTTACGAAGAAGTTTTGACAAAGCATGTACGTTCATGTTTGACAAAACATTTACGATGAAGTCTTGACAAAACATTTACGTTCATGTTTGACAAAACATTTACGAAGAAGTCTTGACAAAACATTTACGTTCATGTTTGACAAAACATTTACGAAGAAGTCTTGACAAAACATTTACGTTCATGTTTGACAAAACATTTACGAAGAAGTCTTGACAAAACATTTACGAAGAAGTCTTGACAAAACATTTACGTTCATGTTTGACAAAACATTTACGTTCATGTTTGACAAAACATTTACGAAGAAGTCTTGACAAAACATTTACGTTCATGTTTGACAAAACATTTACGAAGAAGTCTTGACAAAACATTTACGATGAAATCATGAAAATTCACGAGGGTAGAAAACGTGTTAGATCTAACCTTCTACCCTAAAATATATTTTTGCTGAAAAATGACCAAAAATCTGAGTAAAATGGCATAAGATTGCTTCCCTCGGAAAAACCGAGAGAAGAGATTCCGTATGAAATTCATGAAATTTCTCTAGACCGGATTTTATCGGTCTAGCCTAAAACTCATGAAAATCGTGAAGAACAGCGAGTAGGGAAGAAACCGGTCTAGCCTAAAACTCATGAAAATCGTGAAGAACAGCGAGTAGGGAAGAAAACGTAGTCGCCAAAACTCTATGAAAATCGTGAATTTCCTTAAGATAGAAAAAATAACGCTAATTTTTTATAAAATATTTTTTTTATTTTGTATGTAAAGACAGATATGTCAACAACCGAGAACACAACAACAGTTATAGTCCATGAAGCTATAAATGAAGAATACGAGTACATACAGTTTAACAAACAATTGCGTCTCATTCGTTCGGTCAAAGACGATATGTACCAAATGCAAAGTATTTTGACAGCATGTTTTGCACCAGATACTAAACACGCAGACGATTGGTTCAAAAACCAAAGCACACAAGAACTTTTGAGCGAAGCACAGCGAGTCCGACTTCCTTCGGGGTCGCCTAAAACTCATGAAAATCGTAAAAATTTGCCAATAAATTTAAGAGGATATTATGTACATAGACTTCTTGTAAATGCTGTTGCAATGTGGGCTTCGCCTCGTTATGCTTGGTATATTTACAGACTTCTTGACGAAATTCATAGACAAGAACGTGAAGAGATGGAAAAGAAACTTCATGCAAAAGATGAAGTCATTGAAGCAAAAGACAAAAGCATTCAAGAAAGAATACCACGTTCGGTACCAAAAGGAAAGGAAAAGAACTATAAGTATATGATTTATACTGAAGAGTTGGAGAAAGAAGAAGATAAAGATATGGTTATGTTGCATTTAGTCAGAAGAAACAACAAAAGCTTTTATGACCTTGCTAAGATTTACAAATCTGACAGAAATTGGTTCTATCGCGAAAACTTACCGATTTCAATGACCCCAAATGAAGATGTGAAACAAATAGTTCAAGATACGTTACCTCAAACACACTATGATATTAAAGGTTGTACAATACTTACATTCAAAGAAGATTTGTCATTGTTAAAGGAAAAAATAACAGAGTATTTTGACAACTTCAAACAAGCAGAGTAAATGAACTCTTTATTTTTACGCTTGACTTCAGATGGCTCAAGTAGCTCAATTAGGTAAATTGCCTCGTCAAATCCTTCTGGCATTCCGAGTCCTTCCTTCCGACAGAAAAAATTTTTCCTTCCAACAGGAAAAAATTTTCCTTCCAACAGGAAAAAATTTTCCCGACAACAGGAAAAATTTTTCCATCCGACAGGAAAAATTTTTCCATCCGACAGAAAAAATTTTTCCAGTTGTCCGTCCGTAAACCATTCAAATTTTCGAAAATTGAGAACTTTTTGGTCGAACTTCAGAAAAAATTTTTCCATCCGACAGGAAAAATTTTTCCATCCGACAGGAAAAAATTTTCCATCCGACAGGAAAAAATTTTCCTTCCAACAGGAAAAGTTTTTCCTTCCAACAGGAAGAACTCTTCCTTCCGACAGGACACAAACGGATGACTGACGTTCCTCTTCCTGAATGCCTTCCAAAGCCAGAAGAACCGACAGACCCAGCACCACAACAGACTTACTAAGACTAAACACTTACATTTTTCAAGCTTGACTTTTTACAATTTGAACTTTGTTCGCGTAGATATGAATTCTGAAAGAAGTATGAGGTCTTGTATGACTTTGTACTTCTCCCATAGTTCATGTCTGTCAAACTTACCTGCCATGGACTCTTTCATAAGTTCCATGAAATCGTCTTCGGACAATCCGGGAAAAGTACAATGTCAGTAAGTATTCTCTTTACATCCTTACTTAAACTCTTTGCTGTCTGTACACAAATGACAACTGAGATGTTAAAGTGTCTGAGCTTCTTAAGAATTCGACACATATCTTGTTCTCTGTTCTTTAACAAAGGATGAGAAGCAAAGTCATCTAAGATAAGAAGACATCTATGAGGGTAAGTCTTCCAATCGTAAGATTGCAATTTCTTCGAAATGTATTCTATCTCTTTCTGTTTGTTTCTGAAGTGTTTCTTCTCTAATATTCTCTGCATTTCCTCATTTGGGTCTTTAAACTTCGAATTTATATACTCATTTATAGCATTATACTTCAAAACTCTTCTTTGGTACTTCTTTATCCAATCTAACAACTCAGAGTCTTTTATACATACTAACTTAGACTTCTTTATAATATCTTTGAACGAATTGACGGTTTGGTCAAATTGACCAGAAGTACTACAAATGACTACTAACTCATAGAATGGGTTCTTCTCATCTAGTTCTTGTTGTTGTGCAGCCATTTTAAGATAAGTGAAAGTCTTACCCGACCCAGGTGGTGCAATTAGACCTGTTATACCATTCTGAGCAAATAAGAACTTGTCATGTATAGGCTTTATCTGAGCATTTTCTAACTTCCTCTTGTTCTTGTTTAAAACATTCTCAAATTTTTTGTCAATGTCAGCAAACTTTTTTTCTAACATATTTTTAAAAATTAAAATTTTTATCTTTTAGAAAATGTCTAGCGATTTCGCTATCTATATTCGAGACAAGCTTTTCGACAGCAAAACATCTGTCGACCATAAAATCTTACATAGTGTAAACAAGAAAGGGGAATTTGTTCTAAAGTTCTGTTTCTGGGAATATGACAAGAACCATAAAACATTAAGCAGAGCAGTCTTAAAATTTGTCAATGACAGACTTGTTGACAGAGATGACACCGATTGGAAAGATGAAGTCCAACAAAAGTTCTTAGAATGCAAAGAAGACACATGCGCTGTTCTTGAAGATGAAATAGAAAACAGAATAGATGAGCTATTAAAGGACAAAGAACTTTTACATAAATATGGTTGCGCCAAATTTGACATAACTCCACCAGAAAAGAAGAAGAAGAAAAGAAAGAAAAGAAAGTAGAAGAAGAGAAGAAAGAACCTGAACCAATTCCAGAGAAAAAGAAATTTGACATGTAAAAATAAAATTTTATTTTAGAACATTTCTGGGTCAATGTCAATGTTCTCTTCCTCTTTAGGAGCAAACACTGGCTTAGACTCTAAAATCTTTTTACCCAATTTACCTTGAACTTCAACTATCTTAGACTCATAATATTCATAGTCGTCTGCTTTCTTTGGTTCATAAGGTATAACAAGTTTGTATGCTTTGCCTTCTTTAAGGTTTGAGAACCTTCTGTCAAAACTTTCTTTGACTGCTAACAAACCTTCTATGTCTAAGTCTTCAAATTTCGCACCATTTTTAGTCACAATAGCAAACTTAACTGGTTCGATGTTCCAAACTTTGCTGAATGAAGACTTTTCAAAATGGTAGAAGTAAACATTCAAATATGTGAATGGGTCTAGTTCTTCTTTAAGTCCTGACATGTACTTGTTTACTGAAATATATTTCGTCATCTTTTCTATCGGATAAAAAAATTTTTTTAAAATTTACTCAGAAAAATTTTTCTTTGTATATACACCATTCTGTACGTCTAAAAGACTTTTGACATTTGCCAAGAATGTTCGTTTAGAAGCTGCCATATAACCATATTCTTGACAATATTGTTTATACGAATCGTACAATGACCTTTCATCTAAACACTCAAAGTCAGTTTCATCTATGAACAGTTCATATACACTCTTGTTTGCTTCTAACAATGTTTGTCTCTCTTCGGTATGTGGAATTTGTCTTGGATTGAACTTTGAAATATCTAATGTCATAAAGTATGAGAACAAGTGGTTGTAAAAGTCAGATGTCAAAGTTTCTGCTAAGTCGTCAAAATATTCTGTATCTTGCATATGAGAATCTGACGTTCTGACAACTACATATCTTCTGTCAGAACTTTCTAACTTCATCGGAACAACATTGTTTGAAACCATAATGAAGTTTGCAACATTTTCACAAACTCTTTGGTCTTTATACTTTCTTTCAACAACTCCAACTTTGTCTGTTATAAGACTCTTCAAAGCATCTGAGTTCAAAACTTTTGTTGTATCTATACTTTGAAGTTCATTGCAAACTATAAGTTTCATATTCTCAATTGAAGAGTTAAATTTACCGCAGATGTTTTCTAAGTTTGTCATATTAGGGTTCGAATAACCTCTAACAGTTTGCACAAAATATCTGTAAAGAATGTGTTCTTACCTGTTCCTTGTTTTCCAATTATAATGAGAGCAGTTTCATTTTTAGCACTTGGATGTTGTAAGATGTTTGCAAACCAACATAAGATATACTCATAAACCTTTTCGTTTCCATTGCATATAATTTCTTTGACATGGTCTAACCAAGCTTCTATAATACTGTGTTTCCATTCTACTTGTTCGTATTTATATCCAGTGAAGATAGAATAGAAGTTTGGAGAAGGTGTATAAAACTTTATACCACGAACTGAAAAATCTTCTAACTTTGACAATAAGATATCCCAAGCATCTAACATCTTCATGCCAACTTGTACGACTTTTATTTTCTTAAGTTTCTGTCTACATTCTTGTTCAGACACTATTGTTGCTCTTGGTTTGTTAAAGACAACATCCCATTCTTTCATAACATAACATTCTGGGGCAGAGTCGACATAAATGACTAAACGTTTCAAATTCTCGACTGCTTTGTTATAGTCTCTAAATGGACACATATTTCTGAATGCTTGGAAGTCATAAAAATCTGAAACATCTATTCTGTACATTTTTATAAAAATAAAAAAAAATATTTTTTTTTATTCTTGACTTTGTTGTTGCATCTCAGGAGGTATTTCTTGCATTTGTTGTTCTTGAGCTATTTGTTCTTGTAATACAATACCTTCACCGGTTGCATCTTCCAATTCTATACTTTCTGCTGTCATAGAAATATACATAGGACATAAAAGTTTTACGGGAACAAAGTTTGCGTCAACTAAGGTTAAGTTTATGTTTGCTAAAGTGTTTGAGTTTACTAAAGCTGAAAACTCTGCATTCGAATGAACAATAGGCAAACCAGCAGAGAATGTGTTATTTATACGCATAAGTATCTTTTGGTCATAATAGTTTCTGTCGACATTCGAATAACACTTTGAACCTAAGTTTGAAACAATATATAAAATAGGTGTACTTAAAGTCAACGGAACAGACAAACCTTTTACAATATAATATCCATTATTCCATTCTGCTTCTATAGGAAATGTTTGGTTGTAAAACCCTGAAATAAGTTTTGCATTATAACTCATGTCATTTAAAATGAAAGGAAAAGTTCCAGTAAAGTTTATAGTTCCCGCATGTGTTATAGAACTTAAAATATTTTTATCTGGAAAAAGTTGGTTAAACAGGTCTACAAAACACCTGGTGGTATTTCAGAATATGTATCTTCCCAATAGTATTTCATACCATTTAAAACAATATAGTCATCTGGAGTCAAAAGAGCAAAACATGCTTTAGTTGTCATTGTGTTTAAGGTTAGTTTACAATATCTTCCTTGAGGACTTTGAAGATATGTAGTTATAGAGTTATATGACTCAGGGTTCTTTGTTGTTATAGTATACAGAAGTATGTTTTCTGCCATTTACTTAGCAAATAAATTTTAATGAAATGTTGTGGTCGTCAAATATTTTTATAACGTCTGGGAAACTATATTTTAAGTTCAACGTTTCACCTCCTTTCATAACGTATATCTTGTCAATGACATTATATGAAACACCACAGCAACTAATGTCGGGTTCTATTTCTTTGATGTTTATATCGTCTGCCTCTGTCAAAAGTTTCAATAGTTCTTTCAAAACTTCATGAGGTGCAATGACATATGAGTTCACTTTTACAGGGTTGTGTTCGACCAAGTTTAACATTATACCTAAAGCTTGAAAATCTTCTCCTGAGTTTGAAGTTTGTCTTTCAGTTGTTGGTAGTCGTTTCGAATATCTGCAAACAGAACTTAAGTCTCTGCTAACTTCAGGATATGTTGGTTCTTTTACAGGAACAATTGTTATACCATCTTCGTCTTCGTATGGTTTCCCCACTTCAACATCTCTGTCTTTGACATTGACAATAACACTTTGACTGTTTGTTTGAGTTGGTGAATTTAACTTCACATCTGCCACCGCCATTAAACCTTTTGAAACACTTACGCTTCTATTTTTCGGAAATGACATTTTACTTCGAATAAAAATATGGACGTATTCGGATATCTCTTCGAATTGAAGCAAAACAAGGTTTATACTCACAAACAATACAAATACATTGACAGAATAGTTCTTTACACAAACAATGGAAAATGTTATAGAATAGCAGTCTTTGCTGAACCAAAATATTTTCATAAAGCAAAGAAAGTTGGTATAACCGAGATGGTGAAAGTTCTTGACGTTGACAAAAATATAACAACAAAACTTACAGATATTTCTAAAGGAAAGTTTATAATACAATATTATGTCAAAACTGGCGTACTGTCAATATTTGACGGAGAGAAGTCAGTTCAAGAACAACTTACTGACCTGCTGCCAAAATCTGCTCGATGGAAGCTGTCGTTATGCCAATCTGAGGAGCCCCAGCAGGTTTCATCGAACGAATCTTCAAAAGAGCATCTTCCGTGAAAAGTGCTATTGGTTTTGTAAACTTCTTTGCTTTCAATTCATCTGGACCGTCTCTGTCACCAGTATATTGTATTTGTACAGTACCAACAGTTGAAATACCACCCATAAAGTCTTCTGAGTCAGCAAATGGAATGCCAAGCCAAAAGTTTGAACGGTCTCCATTTGTATATTGAGTTTTTTGACTTCCTGTATGAGTCCATACTTTCACATATGGCATAATAGAACTTTGCATTTCAGGGTTAATGGTTGTTGTGAAGTTGTTGTTAAAGTTCATAGCATCTAATGTCAAGTTGTATGACCTCATATCCTCAACTGTAGAATATTCTTCTCTTGGATAATATTTGCCATCTATGTTTATATGATATTTAATACCAGGGTTGTAGAAACAAGAATAGTCATTTATAGTTCGTCTGAACAGTACAAACAGAGTATCTGCATGTTTCATTGCAGTTGTTAAAGCAATATCTGTTCTTGCACCTGGGTCAGCACTTTGGTTTCCAACTTCACCTGCAAAGTCTTTGACAGATATTTGGTGTATAGGGAACATAAGTGGAACTGCAATATATTTGGCAGCTAAAGCATTTGAAATATCTGGGTCCAACATATAGACTGCAAGTCTGCTTTCTATTCTCTTGCATTCAAATTTTTCGCATGTGAACTTAACTGGGTCCCAAGCATCTCCAGCAGCATTGAAATAATAGTTTACTTCAGTGTTGAAGTTTGAGAAACCAAAGTCTAAGTCAACTTTGTCTTTGCAAAATTCGGCGAATGACGTTTGATTTGTTCCCTTTACGTCTGTAAGAGTGAATGGGTCTTGTGTTGGTGCAATGACTAAGTTATTTTTGCTTGGAGTAAGTTCAATAGAAATTTTTCCTGCCCAGTTTGGCAAGTATCTTAAAAACCTGAAGATGAGGAAAGATGACAAAGGAACTCTAAGTTTCAGTTTTACTTTGGTTACTGCTGCTGCAGTTTGTCCAGAAAGGTCAACATAAACTCCTGGAACGTTAGGGTCAAGTCTTCTTATTTTCTCAATAGTTGCATACTGGTCTGTTTGTTCTCTCGCTTGTGGTTGTACTGAGTTTCTCAAAGCGAACCATTCATAGTTTGCCCATGTTACTGTTTGAACCAAGTCAGAGTTAGAATATATCTTATATCCCATGAAAACTTCTGGAGCATATTGGTATCCGACATAGAAAATTCCATTGCAACCTTTCTTGTCAGACAACTTGGCAGAAGGTTTTATTTCAATGTCTTGTTCCACGTATAAGAATGAGTTGTCAATAGAAATAATATGAAACCTGTCGCAAGCAATATCTACTGTTGTTGAAGAACCTTCTCCAAACTCACCTACGTTTCCATAAGAAACAGCAGTTGTATATTCGTAAGTTCCAGGAACTATTTCTGACCTTCTAATGGCATTGTCGCATTCGTTATACCATTCGGAAACATTTCCGTTCATGGCATCCAAAACTGTTGGCGTTATATTCTGAGCGGCGTACATTTCATATGGGTAAAAATATAGAATAGTTGGATTTATATGTCATAATAGAACCCACTCGTACCAAGCTTTACTTTCTTCCTGACTGAGTTTTGTTGCATCTTTGCCTCATGTTCACCTAGTATGTTGTAAATTTCCCATGTCCTTTTTGCCTTTGGGCTCTGGTCGCCCATCTCAGGTAACCTATATCCTAGAAAGATTTTGTCATAGTTTGTATTTGAGTCTTCGCGTATTGTTTGCATGACTCTTTCCTGAGTTTCCGGTTCGAGCTCTTCAAACAGAGCCTGTCCATATGGAATAAGCTCGTTTCCAAATATATGTTTTTGTAGCCATTCTGGTTTTCTTTCCATGTAACCAATAATATCTTTTGTGAATGGGAAAGCTTTTACCCAATGTTTCAGTCTTGCGTCATTTATTTCTGTAGTTGGTTTTATTTTGTCAAGGAACATGTTTTTCAATACTAACATTTCATTTGGTACTGTCCATTTGAGTTTTCTTAAATATTCATCCCTTCTCATTGCATTGTCTGCAAAGTAAGTTTTTATGACATTTTGCAAACTTTCGTTTGCAAGGTCATGTACAATAGGTTCTCTTCCTTCTTTCTCCCTAACTTTCTTTCTAAACTCTTCACCAAATATACCATCTCTATGGTTCTGTGTAGTTCTTTGAGATAAATGTTCTAGAACGTCAGGTGTTATATTTCCATCAGCCATGTTCATTTCATACTGGTCCAAAATATCTGCATGTTTCATATCTTTCAATGGCATTAAAGCCGCGCTGAAAATACCAGCTATATCTGGTTCACCATTCACTTCCATTGCGTCTACAACTTCTTGGAATTGAGGTTGTAAGTTTATGAACCACCTATCCGGATTAGCTTTATGACCCCATCTCATTGTAGTTCCATAGTCTGCAGAAACAAAAGTAGGTTTGTTTCCATATTGGTTAGGTTCTGAATGAACTTTAAACAATGTTTCATTTCTATATGTTTTGTTGAAATTTAACCTTTTATTTTCACCGAGTTCATCCGAAGATTGAACGTTATATGCTCGTAAGTAAAAAGGATTGTTGTATTTGTGTACATTATCTTTCAGTACTTCCATTCTATGCTGGATATTTTCATCTGATGTTGGAGTCTTTTGTATGTCGGCGAACATTTTTCGATATTCTTCTACTATGTCAGCCGAATTTTTCTTAGACTCTTGGAAAGATTCCATATTCTCCGCATACACTTGTTGAGGGTCAAGATTTTTCGGCTGTTCCAAATCTTCATCTAGTTCTGTGAAGTTAGTTTCCAAAGGAGGGACTTGTTCGTTTCCTTCAGGCTCTTCTAGCTGTTGTTGCTGAACTATTTCTTCCATGTCTGGTTGTATCTGAACTTCTTCCTGTGGAGTTTCTTGTACCTCATCTGCTGGCATTTCATATATTCCGAGACCGTTTTTAACAAATTCCCTTTCTAAGTCATCCGCATTCATAACCCTTTCTTCTTTCGTTCCGTCTCTATTTTTTACACGTTTCATGAAGAGAGTTGAATTATCATTTAGCTCTGACACCAAATATCTCGGAGTAAATTCAGTCATGTCATTTGGATGATATGCTATTAAATCATATCCCTTAGCGAGCTTGTATTTTCCAGGTTTGAAATTATATCCCATTTGGTGCTGAACCATAAAGCTAAATAGGTTCGGGTCAGTATTTCCTTCCTTGAACTTTCTAACAGCTTCTTTATATCTGTCACTAAAGTCAAGAGTATCTGGGTAACCATAATTTTCCTTAAGCATTTTTAAGAATTCTTGGTTTCCTTGTTCTCTACTTCTTTTATGTCCTTGCTCTGTTTGTGCTGGTTGTTGTGCTGGTTGTGGAGGTGGTTGTTGTGCTGGTTGTGGAGGTGGTTGTTGTGCAGGGTTTTGAATTGTTGGTTGTGGAGGTGGTTGTTGTGCTGGATTTTGAATTGTTGGTTGTTGTTGTGGTGCTGGATTTTGAATTGTTGGTTGTTGTTGTGGTGCTGGATTTTGAATTGTTGGTTGTTGTTGTTGTGGTGCATGCCTGCGTCTGTGTCCATGTGACGATGTAAATGTTTTAGGTAGTCCTGCTGCAGGTGCTTCTCTTGAAGGGTTTGGTGGTATAAAAGTTCCACCAGCTGGTATATAAGTTCCACTAGCTAGTATATAAGTTCCACCAGCTGGTATATAAGTTCCACCAGCTGGCACATATGTTCCATCTGCAGCATAATGTCCTACCTGACTTTTCGTTTTTAAGAAAGCATTTACTAGGTCTGTTTTGGTCTGTTGTAACTCTTTTTCTTGACTTTCCACAACAGTTGCTCTAACGGCGTCATAGGCACTTTGAACTGCCTGTCTCGTTGCTGCATCTGTTATTTTCGTCATATTTTGTGCTACTTCTCTTAACTCTTTGTCGAAACCTTCAGACTTCAGTTTCTTTCCAGATGAGAAGTCGTTCACTAGTTTCACCTTACTATGAAGAGCTTCGAAGGCATTCTTAAAGTCAGCATTCATTAAAGCTTCATTTGAACTGTCTTCATCCGCTTGTATTTTTGTCCTTATTGACCCTATAAGTTGGGCTGCTTTAGCGTTGGCCTGGGCATCTAACCAGTTATTATTAGCTTTTATATATTCTGCGCTTTTCATTGCCTTCTGCATGGCTGTGTCGTTATTTTTACTTTCTTGTGCTAAGTTTTCATACTGTACGGTTTGGTTTTGCAACTGTAAAAGTTTTTCTGCCTTTACATTTGCTTCAACTTCTTTTTTATACTCATCGCTATCCATATATGTCTTCAGGGCTTTTTGTTTTATCTCTTCATCTTTCAGTACTTTATATTGAGTAGTATGGTTTTTCAAATTTATAACATCTTGTTCCATTTTTGCTACTTCTGCTGCTTTTTCTGACACTTTTTTCGCATATCCCTCTGTACTTAGTTCTTTCAGTTGTTCTTCTTTCTTCTTTTTCTCTACGTTTAACTCATTGAGTTTCTTTGTGTGTCTGTCATATTCTAGTTTCTTTTCGTTTTCACTTATTTGTTTCTGTATGTCTATGTTTGACTTTTTGACATCTGTTATTTGATTTTTGAGTGAACTCAAATTCATTTGACTTTGAGGGTTATAAGCTGTTCCGTCTGCAGCTCCACCATAGCCTGCCATTTTCGCTAAAAGTGCCGCTCTTAAACCTCCACTCTGTGCACCAATAACTCGGTTTAAAAGCATAGGGTTGCTTGACATTTGTTGCAACATAGTGGGGTCATTCATCATTTGTTGTTGCAACTGTTGTTGTGGTGTCAGTTTTACTATTGGATGTTTCAATGCTCCCTTCCTCTTACGTATATTCTTACGTAGCTTACGTGGCATTTTAAGTGAAGTTAAAAAGCGGTTTTTGACAGATGTTTATATGACACTTTTTGTTCAGCACAAAAAACTACTCGGTCAAAGTGTTGTCAGTTTTGTAAAATAACCGTCCTATCTCATTCTATAAGGGAGAAAAGGCTTCTCAAAGTATACTTCCTTGGAACGCCTGCAACTTTTCCTGTAGCGACGATAGACCCTTACTTGTCCGGACAAAGTTATACTATTTTGAGTGTTCTACAAAAAAGTCAACGGCTGGTCGGCTGGGGTTCGGTCCTCCTCTTGGGTCTTGGGCAAAATTTCTTAGGGGCTAGAAGGGGCGCAGCCCCTGGAAGCCCCACTACCTTTTTTTTTTTTTTTTTTTTTAAAATAGTTATATATTAGAAAATAATATGAGTTTATGTGATATTATTTTTCAGAAGATTTCATTCTATATGCCTATGAAAAGTACTCTCAAAACTAACTTTTTCCTAATTATAATTAAATCTAGAATATTGTATTATGTTTAGTATTATTTCATTTTTCTCATTCAATTTAGAATTTACAAATGTCAAAAAATTGAGAGCTGTCACTTTTGATGAATTTCTGTTTATTACAACATAGACGGCGAACTTGAAGGAACTCAAACCACAATTGCAACCAAAATTGCAGAAGTCAAGGAACAGATAGCTCCACTTAAAGTTACCAAAGCTACTCTTGACCTCATGGATACTTACCGTTTAGATGTCAAGAGAGGAATAAGACAATTAAAATTAAAACTCTTAAATTACGAAGCTATACTCCAGAAGTTAGCAGAGATGAGAAGACTTTACCAGAGCTACTTACATGTAAGGGACTTACCTTCAAGCAGTCCGACCAAAGATGAATTTTCTGACATTGTCCCAATTTTGTCCGAATGTCAGCTCAGATGTTTTGAACTGCGCCCAACATATCCAGAATATGAACGTTTGCCTGAACTCTTCCGCAATCTCAAAAAACGTTTTTTGGTTCTCATGTTCGAAACTTTTATCGGAAGAGACAACAAACGTTCAGAAGAAGAACAAGATATTATTTTAAACTTGTTGTATGACTTAACTGTCATAACAAGCTTTTTGAAGTAAAACCGTCATTCTCAAACCACTTCATTTTTTCGATGTCCGAACAAGCACCGAAGCCAAACTCAATGGAAGATGTCGCTGCATGGTTGCCAGACAAGCGCCCACTTCAACTTCAAATTATGAATTTGAAAGCTCATCTGACAAACACCGTTAAGACTCTCCAAAGTAGTCTTATGTCAGAGATGAAGGGACTTAAAGGTGAGTTCCTCATGAACCAAGCTTCCAATGAGAAAGTCCTGAACGATTTCGCGGAAACCTTGCGCCAATACGACACAGAGAACCGAAACCTTGCCCGACTCATCTACCGTTTCTTCGAAGAGATTGACACCATCTGGGCGGCACTCGGAAAGGACAGAACATGCAACACCGTAATTCGTGAACACAGAATTGCCGAAGGTATTATCAAAGTAGAAGAAGAAGAGGAAGAAGAGAAACACGAAGAAGAAGAGGAAGAAGAAGTTCCTGAAGCCGCTACATGGGCAACCCTTGTTGCCGATGACGGTTACGAAATTTCCCAACCCTACCCATACAAAATCCGCAACAGGGAGACCGGCAAGGTTCTTACCCCAGTTCTCAACAACTTGGGACACTTGAACCTTAACCTTCGGAATCGCGGTTCAATTTCCATGGGCAAGCTTGTCGCAATTCAATGGGTTCCAAATCCAGACAAGAAGACGAAGGTCAGACACATTGACGGTGACAAGCTCAACAACCGTAAGGAGAACCTCGAGTGGTTCTAAGAGTAAAAAAGATTTTATTTTAGGGGGAAACCCCAATTAAATTTAAGTTTTTAGTTGGATAAGTAGGCACAATTAATGGTAATTTGGAAAATTAGCTCCCGACCTTTGAATTGGGCTCTTTCGTTATCCCAGTTGCGTAGGAGGTCGTCCCAGAGGAGTTGGTAGAATTGCCAATTCAAGGACGATTTGTCCTCCCAGGCATTGAGGATGTACTGCTCGTAGAGTCTCATGACCTCTGCCTTGCACCAGACACCTCTCCCTTGGAACGTAAGGCTTCTTCGAAGTGCTCGAATGCGATTGGCTGCTTGACCATCCGAAATGACACTTTTTGTCCGTTTGGTCAATGTTCGTGTCTCGTGCCATAGTCGACGAAAATACAGACAAACAGGTTATATATGAGTTTGAGACCAAGAATGGTGTAACTCGACCTGTCCGATTCAAAGACTCCGAGGGCGACCATGAAATTAAACGGAAATTAGCTAGGAAGGAATATAAAATGGACTGGTTGCCACCACCTCCACCACCTTTACCTGTTCCTCAAGTAAATAAGCCTTTCCCGTTCCCAAGAATTCCCACATTTAAATTCAAATTCGAATAAAAATTTTTTATTTCATGCAATGTTTAACTATTTCACCATCTTCTTTAACACCCAGTACTTACGCTTGGAGAGGACATGAACTTCGGTGAAAATTTTGTCCAATTTGAATTGACCCATCTTTTCACCGACCATACCCATTTCAATGAGTTTGTTGTATCCTTCTTCGTTCGTCATGAGTGCGTCAATGTTCTCATAGTAAACCTTGACTTTCGATTTGACTTCGGAGAAGAATTTGTTGTAGTTGTCAAGGACTGCCTTTGCGAACTGAGGGTAAGACCAATGTTCGACAATAGGTTTTAATGTGGTTACTAAGCCACTTTGACCTTGAGTGAATTCGTACTTCAAAACAAAAGGAGAAAACCTTTCAACAAAGTTGTCGACCTTCTCATAATGTTTACTCTTCATCTCTTGAGGTTTCTTAATGGAATATCCCCATGTCGAATTCATAAGCAATTTGAGTGCCATTGCAAGTTTGGGTTTGAAGCTTTCCTAATATCATACAGTTGTTGTATGACTTTTCCAACTGTATAGTTCCTTCCCGGGAACTCACCATCTTCGTTTGGAATTCCAGTCGGAATATATTGGACAAACCTCATGTATGCAGCGTTAAGGTCGACATAGTATATCTTTTCATCTGAGTCGAACTTGTCGCAACCAATTGGTCCAGTTTGTGGAAATTCAAGTGAGTCTCTTATCTTCTGAGAAACTTCTCCTGTTATCTCATAAACATCGTCGAAGCAACCTGTTTCATATAAAACCTTCTGACCTAACTCAGATGCTCTCCAATACAATTTGACGTCAATTGGATGTCTCAATGGAAGTTTGTTTATAGCATCTTGAAGTTCTTGCAACCTCATTGGAAGTTCTTCTGGTTCAGGTTGGTATCCGAACAAACCAACTCCTTGTGGAACTGTGTACTTCTTTTGTACTAGAACTTTGTCTGGAACAACTTTTGGTCTTGCTAACAATGAAAAGTTTGTTTCGTCTTTTGGTACAAAAGTTTCTGTCAGCTTGTCATCTGGAATTGGTTCCAACAAACCTTTCTCGAAAAGAATGTTTACAGCTCTGACAATGTTGCACTTACTTTTACCAAAAATGGGTTTGTAAGACTTTCGTTCAACATGAAGTGGTTGTGGACAATTACAATCTTCAACCATGGTAAGTCTTTGTCAACAACATAGTCGTCATGTGAAGAACCTTTAGCTGTAGGTATGTTGACTCGGATATTGACATTTGCCACGGTGCAATTTTTGCCAATTGACCTCTGAGAATGTACCTTGTCTTCACACATGACTCAAGATACTTCATCTTCTCATCTGTAACAAGACCAGAGTTCCTGAGACATGTAAGAATGCAAGGTTCGTTGACAATTGTTTCAATTGAATTGTAAATTCCATACCTTGTCAAGTCAATGTCAGACTTATTTATGAACGGGAAGTATCCAGCATGTTGTCTGACTGCTTGAGGGTTAGGTTGGTACCATTTCGAACTTGACACTTGCAATTCCTTCAATTGCATTCAAAATGTCTGAGTCGGAGTCAACCATTTGTTCTCTCTTTGTAGTCTTGAAAGCGTCAAGAAGTTTTGCGGCTGTTTGTTCATTGCCATTTGCATAGTAAATGTGACCGTCCAAATCTGTTATGGTCAATCTGAGATTGTGTCCTTTCATATTTCCGTCTTGAATTGCAGCAAGTACTCCCATGAAGCCTTCTTTGTTCTTTCCTTCGTCAAAGTTTACTGTAAAGGTTCGACCAGATGTAATTTGACTTCTAACTTCACGATACTTTTCATATGCATATCTTGTTCTTTCCATGGGAGCATGTGCATCTTCACCTTTTCCTTTTTTCCTTCTCAAAGGATGCAATTGTTCGTCATGTTTCCAGTAGAATCTGGCAAAGCCGTCGTGTCCTTCAACTGAGGTTCACTAACATCGAAAGGCATGTCATAAGACGTTCTTTCTTCTAACCTCTCTAGTCTGTTTGGATAATTTGCACGTGCTGTTTCCAAATCCATTCGTAGCGAAGACCAGACAATTTGTCATAGACTTTAGGGTCTCCCTTCCTAATTTAAAATTCTTCGAAACTCTCCAACCATATCTTTGTAACTCTGCTTTTATTCAGCAGACTTTCTATCCATTCTATATGGGGCATTTTTAATAAAAATAAAAAATATTTTTTTTCTTTACTTTACATAACCGCCTGCTGCCATAAGTCTTTGACGCCAACCCATACCAGCTATGAAGGTTGACTTGGTTTAGTTTGGAAACTAAACTTTGGTTTTGGTTTATCTTCAGTTTTTGGTTTCTCTTCTTCTATCGGTTTTTCGTCACTTTTCGGTTCCTCTGACTTTACTTCACTTGCAGGAACAGTTGTGTCGTCAACATCTTCATAAATATCATATGCCATTTGTTTTTTGTTTTCCTTTCAACTTTTTGTGTTTGTTGTAAAGTTTAGAATATTTCGACTCTAAGTCAATGAGATGTTCTATAATGAACTGTTGGTCAGTGAAGTAAACTTTTCCATCTGTTGTCTCGAAAGCTCCTTCAGACTTCAATATTTTATTTGTGAGAGTCTGTTTCTTTTTGAGATACTAGCCGTTCCATTTCTATGAAAAGTGACTTTATAGTTAGGGTTTGTATTTCCAGACCTGGCACTTTCTATTATTGAATTTTTCTCTTCATTCTGTAAGTTCCTTTGACAGGTTTTGACAATGGTTCTGAACTTTTTGTTTGTGGTGTCAAATCTACCGTTTCAACTTCTTCGGTCATTTCATCTCAGTAAAAAATTTTAATTTGGTTTGTTTTTCACTGGTTGTTTAGGTTTTTTAAGTCGGTCTAAACTTCCCGAGGTATAGGAAGAACTTTACAAACATGTAGTGTAAAAGGTGGTCTTCCATGACTTATTCTGTTTAAAGCTGCATTGTTCATTTCATCTCAATAAAAAACTTTACATTCCCGAGTTTGAGGTGGTTGCGGTTGGTTATTGCTTACCCATTGTTGGCATGGTTAATCCTCTGTTAAAGAATCTTTCACCTTGGTCCATATAGTGTCCTGCTTGGTTATAGTAGTCATTTGCTTTGTTATAATAGTTTCCTGCTTGTCTTCCTACATTGTCCATCCATCCTTGAACTTCCTCTTATTTCAGGATTTGGAATAAGATTTGTTGCATCTCGTGCTACATCCCAACCTTTCTGTACAGTTTGTATAATAGGTTGTGCTTTCTCTTTAAGTATACCTAATGTACTCAAAATCTTCCTTCCAACTCCAAATACTCTGGCTATTGTTCCACTGCGGGCAAAATCTGGATGCAACTCCTGCTAATGCGCCAAATAAACCCATTTCTTATGGGTTAAAAAATGACGAATCCGAACAAGGACCCCTATGTTTCTAAAGCGACAAAGAAAGCACTCATGATAAAAATCTTTAGTTCAACACCAAATGCTTGTTTATGGATATCTTGGAAAACATTCCGAGGTATAGAGAAGATGGACCACCATACTGGTTAATATTTGTTGGTCAAAACACAAGATACTGTGAAGCCATACCATTATGGTCCAAAAATATTTTAGATGTGAAAACTGCTTTGACAATATTCGTTGACAAATACCATCCAACAAAACTGACATCTGACTGTGAAAGTTCTTTCAAATCAGATGATGTAAAAAACTATCTGCGTTCAAAAAATGTAAACCAATATTTCATTGTCGAAACAAGGTGGTGAAGCAAATGAAATGTCATATGACGACAAGTATAGACACTTCTCCCAGGCAAAGATGAGACAAGTTTTAAATATTTACAATAACCGTAAACAAAAAGGTTTGGGAAACCACTCCCCCGAAGAAATGAAAAACAACCCTGACTTAGAGAAAGACTATATATTTAATAATTTAGTCAAAAGAGACAAACAAGAAAGAATGCCGGGCTTCAAAACTCAGAAAGGTGACAAAGTAAAAATAGAAATACCTAAACGCGACCCATATGAAAATACTATTGACTATGACAACAATGGGAACCCGACAGGTACTCACATTCGTGTTCGTAAAAATAGAAGAAAGTATACAAGAGAATATTATGAAGTTTTAGGCAAACATGGCAAAATTACAGACTGCAAGCAGAAGATAAAACTACTATTGTCAGACCTCGTTTCAAACTTGTCAAAGTTTCAAGGTGGTATACTTTCAAAGACAGTTCCTAACAAATATAAGACAACTCCTGACGAATATGCTAAAGAAGTTGAAAATGACGACTAAGCAATTCTATACCATGCGTAAACTGTTCATGTAAGTGGCATGTATTCTTTACTTTGTCCGTTGTTTGCGTATATCCTGAAACGAAATGTGTATGGTTTCCTTCTCCCTGAGTGTCATCCCAGTAAACAATTTATAGCAACTTAACGTCCTTATAAATCATATCCTTGACCTTTTGTCATTCCTGACCAATCCCAATATCTATGCTTATGCCAACCTGCTTGAGATGTCCTTAAAATCTATGTAATGACTGTGTGGCAGGTAAATTTTCACCTGAAATCGTTTTTACTTCCACCTGTTTCCTTTGAAGAGTTTGCACAATACAAAAACCTGTCGACTATTTGTTCCCATGCACCAACACTAAACATTACTTGAGGACCTCTCACATCCATAGATGTATAAATAGAACCTACTGGGTTCATTAAATCAAACATATGAGATATTATAGGATTGTCTCTTTTGAACTTAAAATATAGTGCAACTATTTCAGGTTTCTTCTGGTTTGTGTCAGAATATTTTTTATAATATAATCTTATGTTTTCAGGGTAAGTGAAGTCTTGACTATAATATTTATTTCTGTCATCTGTAATAATATACTATTCTCGTTTTTTTCTATTGCATTATATCTTTTATATCTATAATAATCTAAATATAATGTTAGCTTTTGTTCATCTACATGTGGTGTTCTGTCGTCATCTCCATAGTCATAATAATATGGTGCTGGAGCTGGGTCAGGCAATGTCATATCTGTCATTTCATAAACTCTTAAATATTTCTTTTGTTCGTCTCCATATAAGTTTAAGTAGCAGTTGTTGTCTAATGGAACTTTAACTTGTGTACCATCATTCTTTATATAGCTTACATACATTTCATTGTTATTTTTCGGAATGAGTTTATACCGTGTACCATTTCTTAAGGAATGTACAAACTGCCATCTAAAATATTTATTTTCTTCATTGACAGAAAAGTCACCAACAATAGTTTCAATATTTTTTTGTTCCTATCAAACTTTGGTATATTTCATTGACATACGTCTTATCTGCTTTTGTCTCTAATGTTTCTTGTAAGTTTGTAATATTTGCAATGGTATGTGTATGTCCAACGTCACTTTTCCTGTTTAAGGTTTCTTGTAAGTTTGTAATATCAGATATAGAATGTGTATGAGTCTTATTCGCTTTTGTCTCTAATGTTTCTTGTAAGTTTGTAATATTTGCAATGGTATGTGTATGTCCAACGTCACTTTTCCTGTTTAAGGTTTCTTGTAAGTTTGTAATATCAGATATAGAATGTGTATGAGTCTTATTCGCTTTTGTCTCTAATTTTCTTGTAAGTTTGTAATATTTGCAATGGTATGTGTATGTCCAACGTCACTTTTCCTGTTTAAGGTTTCTTGTAAGTTTGTAATATTTGCAATGGTATGCGTATGCTGTTTTTGTGGATATGTTCCTTCTGTCCATGCGAAAATATATTTTTTTTGTTGCATCTACATATCCAGTTATCCATGTCAAGTCTGCTTTTGTATTCCTTAACTATGTAACACCTTTCTCAAGCTCTTTCAACTGTTGTCCATCTTCCATTAAAGCTCTGTCATGACTTGAAACCGTTTGTGCCAACATATCTACAGTTTCTTTGTCAGCTTTATTTTCAACATCCTCTTTTGTTGCATATGTTGCATCTGCTCTGTCATGTTCTTCTTGAACTTTTTCAATGACATATTCTTTGTCAGCTTTGTTGTCAACATCTGCTTTCAAAAGAAGTTCATTTATAGGTTTCTCGTTTAAAGTTCCTTTTGTTGGATTTATACAGACAGTATTGTTCTTATTGTCTTGAAATAGAAACTCATCTGTCATAGGGTTTATTGTCAGTTTTAAGTTTCCTTCTTTCAATGACTCAGATATTTTAGCATAGTTTGAAAAGTTTGTTGTGTTCTTATTTAGAGCTTGCATAATGAGTTGTCGGTTGTGTTGTATTTCTCGCATAGACGCTGTTTCATTTGACATTTTTATTATAGATAAAATATGCTTCCAATAGAAAAAGAAAATTCAAGAGTTGCTACAACTAAACCATTAGATGAGCTTTTTACTAATGTAGGTCAAAAGTTTGACTTAGATACTATAAAGCATGAAGGCTATCGTTTTGACTACCCATTAAGATGGTTAAGAGACCCATCCGTCACAAAAGCTATTGGCTTTCGTAGAATGAAGTTCATTTCAGAAGCCATACATGGTTTCCCATTTACGGTCGGTTTTGAAGTTCGATACTATAACAAAGAAAAACGTATGTATGAGAAATTTGAACAAGGAAAACTTTTACAAGTTAATTTGCTTATAAACTTAGAAACAACTCTTCAAGCTTTTCAAGAAAAAATAAACGATATCTATATTGAATATGCAAACCAGTTTAACATTGACGAAGGAGAATACCATCTCGATATTATTTATGACAGGAAAAATGCAACTGTTAAAATCAATAAAATAGAAGACCTTGGAGAAAACGTTTATATTTCTACAAAATATAACAACTTGGCATGGTATAGATTTATGAGGATGTTAAATCAGCCTGCAGAATATCCAGTACACCCGGACTATTATGAAGTCGAAAAACCTAATGGAACATATGAAAATATTTTCGACCCAGATGCTATTATTGTTCATGCTTCATTTCTGGTGCGCAAAACTCTTTCTTATGTCTGATGAATGACTTTTACGAAAAACCTACAAAGTTATATGAACCGCCGAGTGGAAGTATTTCAGACTTTCAAGTATGGTTTACTACAGATGGAAGAAAAAGAATAATTCCATTATACCATGCGTTTTACTTAGAACTTAGTTTCATATACAACTACTATCGAACGATAAAAATATAATTTTTAATACGGTTGAGGTGTTGGATTTGGTTGCCAACTAGACTGTGGTGCAGGTTCAGGCTGTTGTATAACAGGAGCTTGCTCTTCTGGTTCAGGGTCTTTAGGTATAATACCAACGAACTGACCTACTCTTTTACCAATATTTTTGACACCGTTCCAAATTCCTCTTCCGACAGATTTTATTCCATTCCATATACCTCTTCCAACTCTTCTGAAGAAGTTTACAATACTACTGAAGAAACCCATTTACTACGTGTAAAAATCTAATGTCCACCTAGTCTTTTGCGTTTCCTGTTGAGTTCCATAGCATTCTTTAACTGGAGCTCATACATTCTGTTTCTCCTCTGGTAGAAAACATATTCTGGGTCAACTCCTGTGTTCGCGTCATCTGCATAAAGTTGTTTATATCCGACTTCAGGGTTTGTATAAAACTCTTTCCATCTCATATTTGCATACCATGGTGGCAAACCTAACGCAGCGTCATTTGACATGGCAGTTTGCATTTGTACATCTGTTGGCACTTGACCATAGTTTGCCATTGCAGTTTGTATTCTAACTTCATTTGGAATATTCTCTGTGTTTGGTTGTCCAGGTTGCTGTGCATTCGCTAAGTTCTGTGCGTCCATTTAATATTAGATAAAAATATCTCTTACGAGTACATATGCTGAACATTTGCAGGCATTGGTTCATCTTCATATTCTCTGTACTTTTCTGCCACGTCAAATAAATAAATGACACAATGGAAAAAACCTAAAACAAGTAGTCCTATTTCAAACCACATTTACTTACTAATAAAATTTCTTTGTTATGACACTTTCTCCAGTTTATAGGACCTCTCTCATATTCTATCTTGTCATATTTAAACACATAGTCGTTTATATCTTCTAACCATTTCATAACGGTTTCCAAACCACTTTTATCGGATGTAAAGTAAAAGCATGGATGGTTATGTATAACGTCTAAAGTTTCTAAAGAGTCTCTCAAAGTCCAGTCTACTTGGTATTGAAAATCCCATGTGTTATAGAACGGCGGGTCCACTATAAAGAAAACATTTTCTTTGTCTTTATATTTTTCATACAACTCTGTCCAATGACATCTCACAAACTCTATACCCTCAATATATTTTTCTATGTCCTCTTTGAAAACATTTGTATAGTTAAGATATAAAACTTTTGACATAAGTGTTTCAATGTCATGAACTCTTATAGCACCACTATATAATAGTCTAGCAGATATACTATCCCAGTCTATATATTCTGCTTTTTTCAAAACCTCTCTCATAATATCTTTCTTATCTAATGGTATACGTTCCATCTTACCTATAGGTATCTTTTCTTTTAACTCTTTCAATATATTGTTTGTGTCTGGAATATGTTTGAGACGGTCCATATAGTTGTCGAAGTCATTGCATATAATCTTTGAGTCTGGGAATATTGTATGGCACAAATGGGATATATAGAAACTTCCACCGAACAAATCTACAAATGTTAGACCATTCGGTAGTTTCTTAAGTTCTCTCAATATAATATCTTTACATCTACTCTTATTTCCAAAGAATGGTAACGGCGGTTTTGTAAAATTCATTTATATATAATAATAAAAATGTTTTTACCCGAAAAGTGACAGAAAAGTGACAAAACATGAAAACATATATAATTTGTGAAAAGCGACATAAAAAGTGACATTTAAAAAGTGATACAAAAGTGACACCATTAATATGATGTAAATAACAACGGTTTTGGTTTTGTCACCGGCTGGTCGGCTCGGGTTCGGTACTCCTCTTTGGTCTTGGGCAAAATTTCTTAGGGGCTAGAAGGGGCGCAGCCCCTGGAAGCCCCACACACCTGACCTTAACATATATATATTTGTCCTGATGAATTGTATACATATAATTCCAAGATTATGTTTTTTCTTAAAAAGTGTCACTTTTGGTCTTAGTTGCGTCCCAAACTAAAATTTTGGTCTTCCCTCCACTTTGAAAGTGAATTTAATACTAAAACAATAAATGGTTTATCAATACTTAGTACTATCCTTTTTGGAACAAATGATAATAAGGATGATATTTGTGATTTAAAATAATTTTTTAAGATTCGTCTTTAATTCATCATATTGTGAGATATATAAAGCATTCGCATAACTCATTCTCCTTAAATGATCAACTCAAAATTCCAAAAAAAAATTCAAAAATTCAAAAATGAAAATCAAAAATTTAATTTTTCTCTTGAAAACATCAATTTCAAAAAAAATTTGGAAAATAAAAGTAATGTATAATTAGTCAAATTGTCAAATAAACCTGTTTTTACTAATAAAAAACATTTAATTTTTGATTTCGATATCATATTTGATAAAATCTCATTTAAGAGTTGACATAATGTCATCATTGTTGATAAAAATATTAATACTATAATGAAATTCTTATTTTAAGATATTAAAATAATAATGTTTTTATTTCAACAACAACAAGTAAATAGATGAATGGAAGCGTAATGTATTCGCATAAATGTAGTAACTATCATCTAGATTTGAGCTATGAATATTCCAATCAAAATGTATCAAATTGAAATCAGAAATAGCCAAAGATTATATGAGGTACTGTGCACTAATTGTAGATGCAATTTTAATTCATAAGTAACTTATATAATAAAGCCGATTTTTTTTTCTGATTGCAATAATTTCCTCAAATCTTATTAACTTTTTCTATTTTCAAGTAAGTTGAATATGCATCATAAAGTGCGTAGAAAACCAAAATTATGAGAAATACTGTCGTTGAATTTTGGTGATTCAAAATTTCGATTTTTAATGTGTGGTTTTAGCATGTGTAATCTTGTTCTTATCTCAACACGAGGGTACATCTGCAATATTATTTAAATTAACAAAGTTGAACTTAAATTGAATAATGCTGGAGAATAACTGATAATGCAGCTAATTGCATATTACAAGATAGTTGCCAAGTGGAGTAATAAATTATTCTGCACCAATCATTTCTTTCGTTTCTGGCATGACGAGCAGAAAGGAAGCGATCAGTAGCCCTAGGAAAAAAGAAGAGGGTTGTCACTTTTCGTGCATGTACATGTACCTTTTAGAACGTATACAAGTGGAATTTAGATTCTAGTTATTTTGATTTATTAATTTTAGATTTTTGGTTATAGAATTACTTTAAATATCAAATTTATAAATCTCTAAAGAGATTGTGATTTTTATCTCAATCTAAGCTCTCCATTACAAATAAACAGAGGCATTATTATAATTAAAATATACTAACCTAAGAAAATGTGTCATTTTGGAAACCATACAAACAATATTTATTAAATTCAACAAAATATTGATAAGAAATTAGTTATTATTAAGAAAATCCAATAACCTAACTTCGAGCCTTACATATTACCAATACTACTGTTAAGAGAAAGCTAATAGATAGAAAAACGTCTTGGATTTGAAAATCTGAACATATTGCATTAATGATTCTTTCTTTCATGTGTAACTGTTCATTTTGCGTTTCATTATTTACAGGCTGCTCTTCTTTTTTATCTTCGGTATTTTTTATTTCAGGTGGTGGTATTTGAATTACTTTCTGAAGAGTACGAGCGACATCACGCATTGTCACAATATCACTGCGATTAGAGATGTTAATTAAGAAATTTTGGATTTTAATATTGACTTCAAATGACGGTGCATTTTCGACTTGAATAAGGTTAAATTCAGGGGATCTACTTGGGTAATCGCATGGAAAGGTAACTTTGAAGTAACTTTTAGAGGAATAATCTGCAATATTGAATTCTACATAATTATCCAGAAAATATAACCTCCAAATAAAGGGGTAGTTATCTTGCTCTATTGTAGCAAAGAATTTTCGAGGATATAGCTTCTGAACATAAGCAAAATCATTAAGAATACGTTCGCGAATTTCCATTCAAATTTGTGAATTTTATGAAAATTTTTGACATTTATACTCAGAAGTAGATTTCACATTTCCAAATATCATATCTCAATGTGAAAATTCTAGTTCAGTTAAAATTAAAAAAAAAAAAAAAAAAAAAGGTAGTGGGGCTTCCAGGCACTTCGTGCCTTCTAGCCCTGAAG